GGCGAGCAGCAGAGGGATCCACACGCTGCAGGTTGTCCACGTACTGCGCCTCATCCCAATAGAGTGTAAGATTGGCAATCTCAGGACCAGCGTTTGTACCCATAGGGATACCGACATCTTGATGACGAACAAGGCCATCCGCTGTATACAAATATGTATTTGTAACAATAAACCGAAGATGTTGAAGAATGTCAGAARCAGAAAGAGTGTCAGGTCCCGTATCCGTAGTCCATTCCCCTGCACGGGGTCCACGGATATATATATATATATGTGTGATGTGAGGTTCTGGACAGGGGGAGTTGTAAGGAAGAAGATAAAAAAAACGAATTAATTTTTCCCTTGTTTTCTTTCTGTTTTTTTTTTGTCGCTTTTGCGCTCTGATATTCTTGTGACAATGTATATATGCGTGTATGTACAGCAAGTGGGTCGATATGACACACGGGGGTGGGGGCAGCCGGCGCTCAACCTACATCCACGTGGGCGGCCTTGTACGCAAGAGGTTCTCAACAGGGGGAGTCTTGTAAGGAAGATAAAAAATGAATTTATTTCTTTTTTTTTCGCATTTGCGCTCTGATAAATTTGTGACGATATATAGAAAGAAGTCGATGAAACTCCGACGACACAGTTTGTCACAGCCCCTCGTTTGTTGCCCTCTTCTCCCTCCCCTCCCTCTCTGCCACCTACGGTTTACCCGGCAGCAGCTCTGTTTGACATTATATGAATAAATGTAAATGTATATATTTTGCTTCTCTGCCCCTCTTCCGTCACCCGCCTACTTTCCTCCCATCCGTCTCTTATGAGCAGGCGGAGCTTTCCCTTCGTTCCTTTCTGCCTTTGCGCTCCGATTCACGATGTGCCTATATACAATATCTATTCCTTCTGTTTTTTTTTCTCGCTTTTGCGCTCTGATAACTTTGTGACAATATATCCCTCTGTTCTATTTGTTTCATTTGGCTGTTCCCTTCCTCTCTTCTTTGCCTCTTTGCCTTTTGGCTGTGTGCAAGTGGGTCGATATGACACACGGGGGTGGGGGCAGCCGCAGCTCAACCTACATCCACGTGGGCGGCCTTGTACGCAAGAGGTTCTGAACAGGGGGAGTTGTAAGGAAGAAGATTAAAAACGAATTTAAGATTTATTTGGTTTTTTGTTTTCGCTTAGGCGCTCTGATATCATGTGACAATATATATATATTATATCTATATATTCATTATATTTTGTTTGACGATATTGTCCCATCCGGCCTTCTCTCCTCTTGTCTTCTTCAACCTCCCTTTTCTCTCCATTTATGAATTTGTCCTGCACCCGTCTTTCTTCATTTCGCCTCGTATATACCTATGACTATATAAAAGGAATAGGTGATGAACAGGCGGAGCTCTCCGTCCTTACTTCTTTCCTCTTTTGTTTTGTCGTTTTCCGCCTTTGCGCTCCGATTCACAGTGTGACAGAATCTATATGAATGGGAATATGCATGTTCATATATAACCTAGGAACTATGACAATGGGGCAGCCGCCGCTCAACCTACATCCACGTGGGCGGCCGTGTACGCAAGAGGTTCTGAACAGGGGGAGTTATAAGGAAGAAGATATAAAAATGAATTCATTTTTTTTTTCTCTTTTTCGCTTTTGCGCTCTGATATTCTTGTGACGATATATATTTATATATATATTTATGGCGCGCTCCGATTTCCACTGTGACAATATATTTATGGCATATCTACAATTAATTAATATATTATAAGAAGATAAAAAATTGAACTCAATTTTCCCTGGTTTTCTTTTCTCCTTTTTTCTTTTTTTTCGCATTTGCGCTCTGATATTCATGTGACGATATATGTATGTAATATATGTACGTATATATGTCGTCAATATTTATGGGTGTCCAACATTTCCTCATTGTACACATCCCTATCACCCAGATATACGTTGTCCCTTTTGTGCTCAAGGACGCTATCAGAACTGTATGATGCCGCACTGTGATGAACGTCCTGCTGTTTTTTGGGGGGACGCATGTGGACAACATGTCCTCTGTCAGGACTGTTTTGATGGGGTGGGATGGTTCGTGCTAGCCGTCCTGCTGAATGCTGTGCTGGCGCAGCTCTCCTTGGGCATCCGTGTGAACATCCACATCGTCCTCACCGTAGCTGTCTTATCTGCCGAGGTGGGGACAGGTAAAGAAAAAAAGAAGAAAAGAAAAAGAGAGAAAAGAAAAAAAGAGAAAAAAAAAGAAAAAAAAAAAGAAAAAAGAAAAGATATGTTGATCTGTGGGATGTGTTATTTGCTTTGTGACAATTCGATTATCTTTCTTTGCCTGTCAGGTTTGGTTTCCTCCTTTTCTTTACCTCTTTTTTGCCTTTTGGCTGCGTGCAAGTGGGTCCTTGTGACACACGGGGATGGGGGCAGCCAGCGCTCACCTGTCATCCACGTGGCTGGCCTTGTACGTAAGAGGTGATGAACAGGTGAGGCTTTCCTTCCTTCCTTCTTTTCCT